AGCACCGCCAGACGAGTCCAGGAATCTTCTCTTGGCATGCCCAAACGCAAATCCCCAAGCCCCGTCTCGTGGATACAGCAAAACCCTGACTGGGACAAGATATGGAACGAGAAGCCGCTTATTTTCCCAGCTACGGGAAAGAACAGAGCGTCAGTCTATCGTGATGATATTTCGCGCCTGGAAGAAGGAGAATACCTGAACGACAATCTCATTGGTTTCTACCTACGGTACCTTCAAGTTCACCTGGAAAAGCAGAATAAAAAACTTTCCGACCGTATCTACATTATGAACACTTACTTCTATCCGAAACTGACTGACACCAAGGCGGGCCGGGGGATCAACTACGAAGGCGTCAAATCCTGGACTGCAAAGGTCGACCTTTTCGCCTACGACTACATCGTGGTGCCCGTCAATGAGAGTGCTCACTGGTATCTGGCAATCATCTGTCATCCATCCAAGCTGCTCAAGACAGATGACGGTGAACCCGAGGTCAAAGATGGCAAGTCTCTAGATGAGTTTAAAGAAGAATTAAAGGGAACCCCAGAGGAGAAACCAGTAGGGTCGGACGAAGGCATGGTTTCTACTGTTGGCGAGCAAGTCGAACTGATGAGTCTGGAAGAGAGCCAACCTGGGGAAGAAGAGAAGAAGGAAGAGCCGAGGCCTGGGAAGAAAGACAAGGGACCGTCTACGAAGCAACGTCAAGTACGCAAAAGCACGGGAATCGCTTTTCGGAAGCAGGATCCCACAGAAGCCAGAGTCATCACTCTTGACTCTCTCGGCGTCGGGCACTCCCCTACTTGCGGCAATCTGAAGGCCTACCTCGTCCAAGAAGCCAAAGATAAGCGCAACATGGCAATCGAACCACCTGGTACCTTTGGATTGACGGCAAAGAAAATCCCCGAGCAGGAAGATCACGCAAGTTGCGGCGCATTTCTCCTGGGCTACATGCGTGAGTTCCTGAAGGACCCTGACAGCGTGGTCACCAAAATAGTTCGTAAAGAGCGGCTAGATTGGGACATCACGTCCCCCGCGATGCGAAGCGAACTCCGTACCATCATTATCGAACAGAGGAAACTACAGAATGCCACCTTAGCGGCAGAGAGGAAAGCTAAGCGCATGTCTACTGGACAGCCTACTCCCGGCATCCTGCCAGATGAACGTCAAGAGAGCGAGCTTGCGCCCCCGAGAACACCTCAGCCAGTGGCTGACGTGCCAAAGAATCCGTCATCCACTGTCAAAGGGTCTCCAGCCATAGGCCTGCCTCCCAACAATGGCATCAGCCCGCCGGCGAAAATCGAGGGAGGCGACGCAACCTCTCTCTCTGAAGATCCCGATTCTTCGAACCAGGGTAAATCTACCACTACTGGGATCGAGGAAGTCTCGGGCATTGCTCAACCCGTAGGAGTCAAGGAAGGCCCGAGGATGGAGAAGACGCCGCAGGTCGAGCCCAATGCACAGCATATCGAAGCTTATGAACCTGGCCCGGCAGCCGAGCGCTCTGTATTACCTGGCAACACCATTCTCCCGACCAACGAGCAATGCGACGTGATGCGGACTCTCGTGGACAGTTTCGAGCCGCCAGCGACGCCAATGCGGGAGGCATCGCGCAGCGGCAACTCAACTGGAGGTCGGTTCGGAACCAGTCCTCGCAGAACAAGTCCTCGATTTTCAAGAACCAAGCCGGTCGAGGTGGACGAGAACCAAATGCTCTCCGCACTGAAATCGACGCCGGCTCAGCCTTCCGATCAAGTGGTACCAGGTTCTCGAAGTTCAAAAAAGAAACCGGGCAACAGTCACAAGATGTTACAGCCGCTTGCGTCTTCACCAGCCCAGTCTGCCGAGCAAAGAAAGGCAGCTGTCCGGGGTTCTAAGAGGAAACTCAGTATCAGTGAGGAAATACTATGCGAACTGTCTTCTCCACCGCCCAAGGCTGCTCGCAAGGATGAAAAGCCTGAATCCCAACCTCAGAAGGGTGACTCGCCGAGCCAACAACTGCTCGGTGAATTGCAATCTTCCGGCGAGTCGATGCCAGGGCAGAGCCTCACATCCGGAACGGATGCCATAATGCAAGAGAGCATCATTATCGAAGACGCGGAAGCTCCAAAGACGTCGCCTCGGACGTTGACAAACACTATCACGCAGAAGAGTTCTTACTTTGAGGTCAAGTCGCCGCCTCGGTCTACTAAAAAGAGGAAGCAGCCTTCTCCGCAAGACCAGCGAGCAAGGAATAGGGCGATACCGAGCATCGAGCGGGACGCCGAGAGCTCATTCAACAAAATCCAGAGGCCTGCGAACGGCTCTGAGACGGTGGATCTTACCGTGAACTGAGCAGGAACCGAACCATGATACCCCGTTAAGTAACGATTGAGGAGAGGCGGACACAAAGAAGCGGTTGGATCTGTCGTGGAGGTTGGCAGATGAGAGACACAGCGTTCGTTTTCCTGAAATGGTTGGCGCGAAGGCGTTTGTCCAAATAGTGTGTAATGGCATAGCTATGTCCTCATACCCATAGAACGTTGCATGGCGTCCCAAGCACATCAAAGAGATAGACATTTTTTCTCGAAGAGTGGCTGCAATTTTTTACGTCGCTTTGACAGAGAGTAGAGGCTCATCTCGTAGTTCGTACATTGTGGTACAAGATCCTCTATAAGTAAGTGCTTTTTTCCCCAAACGCCCCTCTCCTAAAGGGAACATCTCTATATGCTTTTCTTCACTCGCTTCCCGAATCCAATGCATCATTATGGTTACCGTTGACTTCCGGCTTTTTCACCACCTTTGGCACCTCAAACACGTATCCTCCGTTCTTAGCGGTACCCTTGCGCATCTGCCACCTGCCCAACCTGTGCTCTTTGCCTACTGCTGCTACGACACAGATGCCATCCTGCCCGCGCTCTCCGCGTTCAAAGATGGCAATGTCGTTGATCACGCCCTTCAAGCCGCCAGCGGCACCTTCTGACTTGCCCTTGGCAGCCTTTGAGGCCTGCTGCTCGGCTTCTGATGTGAGGATCCCCGCCTCCTCGAGCTTCCTCTTGTCCTCGCTTAGACGCCATACCCGTATGCAGCCGTCCCAACTGCCGCTGAGGATAACGTCCGAGTACGGGATCGACTTGAGCGCTGTGATCCACCGCGGTTGCGGCGGCGGCACCATGCTGGGATCTGGGTTGTGGTCGGCCGAGACCTCGTCCGGCCGGAGGGGCTGTTCCAGGCCGTGGGCCATGGGGAAGATGTGGAGGGGCTTCTTTTTCGTGACGCTCCAGAGAGCCAGGGAGCCGTTGTCGCTGCCGGTGACGAAGAGCTCGTCGTCGATCATGGCCACGCGGTCCATGCTGCCCTCGTGCGGGAGGGAGCGCGGGTCAACGTCTGGCCGGGACTTTTTGTCCACCGCGCCGCCGCGGAAGACGAGCTGCGTCTCTTCTGCAACCTTCCACAGGCGTGCTGTCCTATCGCGGGCGCCTACGCTCACGCAGCGCTCCTGGGCGAGGGCGTCAATGTCGACAATCTCGTCCTGGTGGCCGAATAACGTCTCAATGTAGGCGAGCTCGTCCAGACTCCAGACCTTGACCGTGCGGTCTTTTGAACACGAGTACAGCTGGTTTGTGCCGCGGCGGAATGCGAGGCCGGTGACGGCGTCGCGGTGGTGGGTGAAGACGCGGAGGGGCTTGAGGGTCTCGGCGTCGTAGATGATGAGCCTGCGGTCCTGGCCGCCCGTGACGACGTATTTGCCGTCGGGCGACGCCGCGACGCAGAGTATCTTTTCGACGTGGCGCTGGTACGACTTTTTCTGGGCCTGGGCCAGGTTGCCCCTCAGCCAGTTCTCGAGCTCGGGTCTCTTGCGCGGCGGCGCTGGCGGCTTCTTGGGCTTCTTCTTGGTCGTCTGCGGGAACTGGTGCTGGGGCAGGTCCTGTATCCTCCACTTGTGCAGGTACATGTCCTTGGTGGTGGTGTAGGCGTAGGGCGCGTTGACGGCGACGGAGGTGAAGGTCTCGGTGTTGTTGCGGAAGAAGGACGAGGTCGCCCGGTCAAAGGCGAGCTCGTCGACGAGGGTGCGGTAGACTTTTCCCTTGGACTCGGCCACGTCCTCTTGTAACCTCTCGTTGATCAAGTCGCGATCAATGTCGGCGGCGTCGAACCCCACCTCGTCCACCTGCTGCTTGACGTTCTCGAGGTACCGTTCGGCGAGCCTCAGCCGGCGCTCGGCGGCCGTCTCGCCCGCGTTGTCTTCGTCGTCGGAAGAGGAGCCATTGTCGCTCTCCTCCGGGGCGGAGACTATGCTTTCGAGGTCAGAGTCGCTGCCCGAGATCGATTCGTCGTCGTCGTCGCGCTCATTTCGCTTCTTGGAGGCTGGTGCTGACGCTGTCGGCTTCTTGCCTTTGCTGCCGCCTTTGGCTGGTGCAGCAGATTTCGGAGGGGCTCTGTTAGACGTCTTTGAAGCGGCAATTCGCTTCTTGGGGGCCGCGGGGCCGTCTGTTCGCTTGCGTTTCTTGTTGGCGCCGGGTATCGTGAAGAAAGACGACATTGTGGGCGGTAGAGAGAGCGCCGTTCGCTATGCTTTGCCTGGGAATCTGGGCAAACAACTTTCCGTCCTGGCCCGCCTACATTGACGATATTTTTTTTTCGCCTGGCTGCTCGAGGTGGGCTTGCCAGAAAAAAAAAGTTCGGTGGGTACGTATCTCGGAGAATCAGATAGCAGTGTGGGGTATGGATGCACCCAATCATGAGTGAGTTAAGCAGGGGTGGTTTTTCCGGGCGGGCAGCGGTCTAGCTAGGCAGAATCCGTCCAGGACGGCCCATCCGTTCAGGCTGTAGCTTGACTGCGCGTTCCGGGGGGTAGCTCGAAGGCAGGTCGAAGGCTGACGAACAACCGACATTCAACACCAACGAACGCAACATCACCAACGTTTTCTCCCACAGCAAACCCAAGCAGACCAAAATCAGAACCACAGTCAAAATGTGAGACACCAGCTTCTCGATATCCTGCTCGTCGGAGATGCAGTGAGCTAATGTTGAGTGCGATTGACAGGGAGGTACTACTGGGTATCACGGGCAAGGACTTCACCATCATTGCAGCTTCCAAAGCTGCCATGCGCGGTGCAACGGTCCTGAAGACTGCCGACGACAAGACGAGGTCCCTGAACAAGCACACACTGATCGCATACTCTGGAGAGTCTGGTGATACCGGTTAGTCTCCTGCATCATAGAGCTCCCAACCCCGCCGGAGATGGAGGGGCGAGCATCGAATCCAACCCTTCTACCCGGTTCGGTCACGATATACGAGCTTCGATGTGCTGACCCGAACTCTACAATGTATAGTGCAATTCGCCGACTACATCCAAGCAAACTCCCAGCTCTACTCGATGCGCAATGAGACAGACCTGTCCCCCTCTGGCCTCGCCAACTTCGTTCGTGGCGAGCTTGCCTCGAGCTTGCGGTCGCGGAAGCCGTACAACGTCAACCTGCTCCTCGGCGGCGTCGACCCCATCACACAGAAGCCCGCGCTGTACTGGCTGGACTACCTTGCGTCATTGGCGCCCCTCCCATACGCCGCCCACGGCTACGCACAGTACGTTGACCAGCACTGGAGCTTCTCGGTGAAGCTCCTTCAGCCAAGCTCCCGAGCTAGAATCAAGGAGTCGTTGGGGCTAATTTGGTGATGCAAACAGATACTACTGCCTGTCAATCCTCGATAAACACCACCACCCCGATATCACGCTAGGCCAGGGCATCAAGATCCTCAACCTGTGCACGGATGAGCTCAAGAGACGGTTACCCATCGACTTCAAGGGCATGACGGTCAAGGCCGTGACCAAGGACGGAATCGTGGACATAGAGTTCGATGACGACAAGGTGGTGAAGGCTGCTTGAGGTGGCTGAGATGCGGATGCGATGACGGGAAATGAGGGGCCTTTCGGGACTGTGGTGCGAGGGAGCATCAGAGAACAAGAGAGAAAGAGGCCATAACCAGCAAAACTGTACTACTAGACCGGGCTGGTAATTGATACAGGCATCAGTTCTATCACGACAAAACGCCATCCCTGGAGAGACGTTGTCCCGTGCTTCATCTAGTATGAGATATGCTGATGCGATTCAAGATGGGATCATCGGCACGGGGAAACACAAGACGGCATTGTTTATGAAGAAGCGGGATTATGCCATTCTCTTCCGGCCGACACAGGGCAGTCCCGAATTCGGGCTTGCCCGTGCTCGACAGCAGTGTGATGGTTGCTGTATCAGTCTACCGTCGTAGTGGGAGCGACTCAGTCAAATGTTGAGAAGCAAACGGAAAGCGAGGGAGGGTGGTTAGTCCAAGCGGTGAGGTCACGGTTTTCCCATAGGTACGGTTCCAGAAAGGCGTCCAAGGTCCTGAAACGGGTGCCGGGCCGCTCACTTTCCAGAAGAAAAGCAGTGGTCGGAACCGCTCGAATCGTTCGGTTCCTTTGCCTTGAGGAACCTGGGAAGTCTGGCGCTTCAGCCGAGAGCCAGCCCCAAGTATCTATCTCGTCCAATCTCTCGCGTGTTTTATACGCAGTAAGGATGTCGTCGATTCCTTTTGGACCGAAGATGAGGGATGTATGTGATTGACTGGGCGGATGATGTTCCGGCCGGTTGACCGATCCACAGGTTCAGACACTGAGACGGCAAGACCTCCCCCCCCCCCCCGCCGGATGTACCGTTGTAACTTGTATCTTTGAACCCCTCCGGCGTTTGACTCGCACCATTCGCCTCTTGACCCTTCAGACCTTGGATGTTTCCCTGTCTTTTTTGGTGGCTGACTAGTCGCGCATCGATTCTTTATTGGTTTATGAGGTGCACCTGGCGGGTTCGGCGGCTCCGATGTTTGTTCGACGACGACGCTTGAAGCATTGTTCATTCCCCTTTTTGCGGTCTTCTATCGGTGTTCTATGCAGGTTCGAATTTTACATTGATATCTCTTGTGCTGTGGTGTCGGGGTTTTCAGGAAACTGGTGCACCGCCACCGGAAGACTTTAGAAGCGAAGCCTTTGCGGGTGGCCCCCACGAAATGACGTCTTTCAGTACTGGCGGGCGTGATCTAAGGCTTCTTCTACCCAAACATGCCTTCGCCATGAGAACCATGCGTCTGCTCTCCAATGGAAATAATCCGCTGATGGGGACCGAGTGCCAAACCTATATCCTCAATTTTGCTGCTCCAATGGGCACCAGTCTCCGCACACAGATGGATGGTTTAGGGAGCCCGTCGGAAAGCAAGGTCCCAGTCGTTCTGTTTGTGGTCATGGTGCAGTGAAATGTCACCAAACAGAACAGGCCGAGTGGGTGACAAAATCGATTTGCGCTCGACACATCCGACAAGCAGTTCCACCGCTATTATCACCAGCATTGATGATTAAACAGAGTGTATTTCTCCACGTATATACCTAAGAAAACTTGATATAGAAAGGCAGTAATAATGATATGAGTAGTGAAAGGGGACTTATCAAGATGAATAGCAGGAAATCGGTTTTGTCACCCACTTGCAGGCCTCTTCTCCCACTCCTTTTTGCCTCTTGACTTCATGATCGTAAGAAAGCCTTGGCTGTAATCCTGGTCATGGACGACTTGGATTATATCTTATCGCCACTTGAAGTCCAGTCTCCAACCTTCCATATCCATACCATCGACTTGCGGGGCACCCTGTAACCCCGAGCTTCATGTCTTGTTTCTTCCCGTCTGCGGATACAAACGCTAGTCTAGCCCGGCCACCAATAAACCAGCCCCAGGACTGCGTACCCAGCCAAGAAATCACCTCATTTAGGTAGGTACCAACCTTCTGCAATAATCCTCACTTCGACGTGTTGGCCATGGAATAATCCAGAGTTGGCCGGCACGAGGGAGCGCCAAATTCAAACTTGCACGCAGTAACAGGATCGGAACACCCAGCCGTGTTGGACTCCAAGGGTCGGGTCCGTTCATGCGCGGGCCGTAGCGATGGATGGACGTGACGTTTGTTCACCTCAGCTGAGGTAAGGGCACCCGAGCACGTTGCACCCTCCCACCGGTACGTACCGACGTTATTCTTCGTCGGTATCTCCTTCCACCTCTGCGGTGTCCAGTCAAAAGACTGTCACTGGATTGGTTCCCGTTCCCTCACTCCTCTTCAGCCCAAGAAGAAGGCGATAAAACAGTGACTCAGGAAAAAAATTTAGTACGAAGGGGATGGAAAACCTGGATGGTTGTTGGTTGGAGAGAGTTTAGCGTGGCCTGTCACCTCACATGTCATCATACTTCTGGCCCCTTCACCCTGCAGAAAGCAAGCACATGCTACACGTCCTCGAGGGTGGCCAATCCGGTGCTTTGCTTATCCACCCCCTGGGCGGGCTGTAGCGGCTGAGGGAGCCTGAAGCCTGTCGTGCGCTCTCACTATCTATTTCCCGTAAGGTAAGGTAAGGTAGGTTCTCATGGTTCCTTACTCCTGAGTCCTGACGGATTTCTTACCTGCTTGAAGCCTGAGCGGGCGGCAGGCGTGTGCCCCAGGAACATACCTTACCTCAGGAACTTGGAAGTAAGCACGTAAGGTCGGGTGCCTCAAGATGGAAGGCAGGCACTGGCTGTGCTCCTGTCCAGCCCAGGCCCAGTTCAGTTGAGGCAAGGGCAGCCCGTAGACTCTCATCACCGCGGAATGCAAACAAGGGAAGGAACGCCTCCCCAAATTTTTGCGGGAGGGAAGGTATGGTTGGGGTGCGTGGGTGCCATGGCCAGCAGCGCCCAGTGCTGACGGAGCCAGGTTGGCAGGGGTGTGTGGCCTTTCTGGTGGATTCCGACACAATCTCAAACCGAATTTTTTTTTCTCCCCTACTTCTTGCCTCCTCCTCCGATCTTCAAAATCCCTTTTCCCTCCCACAACCTCCCCCCCTCCTCCCACACAAAACTCTTCCCACTTTACAAAAACAAAAGGGATTATATTCCTTCAACCCCCCATCCCCCTCACCGACACATCACATTTCATCACCTGTTCTCTTGTCTTTTCTTTGACGCATCTTGGGAAAAGCAAGTCTTCAGAACTAATCGTCGTGCGCCTGAGCACTACGCGCCTGCCTAATAGACGAACACCGAGAAGGACAAACTTTGGAAAGTCAACGCCCCGACTTTCTGTTTCTTCTCCCTCTTTTTTTCCATCCTTCGGTTTGCTTTTCTCTTAACCGCGGACCGGCTTCCTTTCACTTCGACTTTTTACTCTTTCGCTGTTTTCTCAGTCGTTTCGAGAGTAATCCGACCACGTCGATCGATTCCACATACCCTTCCGTCGACACTCGAGCAAACAAAGTCTTCCAACTACAGTCACGATCAAATCACCCATCATGGCTGACCAACTCAACATGTCTGGCCTGAACATTCAGGACCAGCAGAACCAACCCCGCTCGTACATCCCGCCTCACATGCGTAAGATGGGTGGTGCGGCTCCTCCGGCGATGAACGGTGGCGGTGGTGGTATCAACAACAGCGCTTGGGCTGCTGGGTGAGTCCTTCTTTCCCTCTCCTCGTGATAAGGGCGTATTAGGTCCGCTTGCCTCAAGTATTGGCGACAGTGGCTAACGTTTTACAATAGCAACCAGCAGAACTTCAACGCTGCTCAGCCCGGCGGCGACTGGCCTGCCATGGGCGGCCCTGGCGGTCCCGGCGGCCCCCCCGCTGCTGCCCCTGCTCCTCAGCAAAACTTCCACCCCCGCGGTGGTCGTGGTGGCTGGCAAGGCGAGGGCGGTGGCCGCGGCGGTTACAGCGGTGGCGGCTACGGTGGTCACGCCGGCGGCGGCGGTGGCCAGGCTCGCGGCTCTGGCGACGGTCAGTGGCGCGACGGCAAGCACATTCCCGGCCCCGTCAACCCCCGTGTTGAGCGTGAGCTTTTCGGTACCCCCGACGATCCGTCCAAGCAGCACACCGGTATCAACTTCGAGAAGTACGACGACATCCCCGTCGAGGCCTCTGGACATGACGTTCCCGAGCCCGTCCTGACCTTCTCGAACCCTCCCCTCGACAACCACCTCATCGGCAACATCGAGATGGCCCGCTACAAGGTCCCCACCCCCGTCCAGAAGTACTCGATCCCCATCGTCATGGGTGGTCGTGATCTCATGGCTTGTGCCCAGACTGGTTCCGGAAAGACTGGTGGTTTCCTCTTCCCCATTCTGTCCCAGGCCTTCATCAACGGTCCTTCTGCAGTTCCTCCCAACGCTGCGGGTGGCTTCGGTCGCCAGCGCAAGGCTTACCCTACCTCCCTGATTCTGGCTCCCACCCGTGAGCTGGTCTCCCAGATCTACGAAGAGTCTCGCAAGTTTGCGTACCGTTCCTGGGTCCGCCCTTGCGTTGTCTACGGTGGTGCCGACATTGGTTCCCAGCTTCGCCAGATCGAGCGCGGCTGCGACTTGCTCGTTGCTACTCCGGGACGTCTTGTCGACCTCATAGAGCGTGGTCGCATCTCCCTGCAGAACATTAAGTACCTCGTGCTCGATGAGGCTGACCGCATGCTTGACATGGGTTTCGAGCCCCAGATTCGCCGCATTGTCGAGGGTGAGGACATGCCCAACGTCCAGAACCGCCAGACTCTCATGTTCTCGGCCACTTTCCCCCGCGACATCCAGATGCTCGCCCGCGACTTCTTGAAGGACTACGTCTTCTTGTCCGTCGGTCGTGTCGGTTCCACCTCTGAGAACATTACTCAGAAGGTCGAGTACGTCGAGGATGTCGACAAGCGCTCTGTGCTCTTGGACATTCTCCACACCCACGGTGCTGGTCTCACTCTCATCTTCGTTGAGACCAAGCGTATGGCCGACTCTCTTTCAGACTTCCTGATCAACCAGAGCTTCCCCGCCACCTCCATTCACGGTGACCGCACCCAGCGTGAGCGTGAGCGC